AACCTTCCATGTGTATCACTATCACCATTGTCACCCCAAATTCACCACCACCATCACCATTGCGACCCACAGTTTCCACCATCACCACCACGATCGTCGCCACCCACTACAATCATCATCATTTCCCACCACCACTACTATCACCGTTCACCCTATTACAATCTGTGCTTAAATTTTTTTCTCTTTTTTTTATGATTTAATTTTTAGTATAAATATAAATATGTTTATTGTTGATCATTTTTTTTATTACTTCATGCCTTCTGGCACGAAAATTAACTAGTATATATATGATGCACAAAAGTAGCTTTATGCAAAATCAATCAAGAATAAAATAACGAGAGTTCAACACAAATAAATACAAAGTTTAGGTAGTTCGGTTTGGGTGCCCTACTCTATTAGGAATAACAACATTGGTTGAAAAATCATATTACTTGATAGGTGTAATGTGTTAAGATGTGTGTGTTGTCCCCCATATGTAGACTAGACTTATAATTTATAGCACGTGAAGTTGACTCTCTGAGGCTCAGATTAAGGCACTATCCTTATAAGGAGTGGAGTGATTTCATGAGTCTTGTCTTATCCTTGTAACGGGTAATATGATAGAAGGGTGATCCCTTGAAGCTCATTCTACTTTGTAATGGGCGAGATAATCTTATGAGGCTGACGATGTGTCCATGATGGCTGTGTATCCATGATTCTTTCTCCTCAAATGGAGACTCCCAAGTTCATTGCTGAGTCTCTTAGGAAAGTGGATTTGGTCACACATCAATTGTGACGGAACTTTTGTTGGTCAGTAGTTTGGACTCAATCTGAGTCGGGTCCATCAATTTATATATATATATTAAGCTTTATGCATGGTGCCATCTTCAATGAATTATTATGTTGAGCATATGTCTCTCCATTGCTCTTGGAATTTTTGTGTAAAAATTTGTGGTGGTCTCATTGAAAATGAGTTAAATCCCTTAAATTCAATAACAATAGCATCAAACGCATGAATAAGAAAACACACCCACAACACATACATGATTTAAAGATAAAAATACACATGCTAAACACCGCAAAATTTTATATGAATTAAGTTTATCACGTCATTAGAAAAAATATAATAGTCTTTATAGATCTAATTTATTGATCTAATTTGTTAATCTAATCATTCATAACTATTTGAGTGATTCTGAATCTCATTATTCTTTGGGATCCTTTACCAATCTAGTAGTTATAACTAGCAATAAATCGTGTGATACACAAAACTTTTATAAAAAAAAATAGAAAAAAATTAAATCACTTGTATATCATCTGTTATTTAGTTGTAACAAAGAAACGGAAGATATGGGAGAAAAAAAAAGGGAAGTGAGTAAGTAGATAAATTTATCCTGTTGAAAAGATTTGTCAATACAATAACGTAGGTAGAAAAGTTTATTTTGAGCATTTCGTAGCTTAGATCGCTTGATGATTATTGATCTGACTGCCATAATGCAAAAATTTCTTTCCCAATTTTTTGAACAAGACTTTTATTTCTTCTACAATTCTAAGACTTCTATCTCTCTTATAACTCTCTCTCGCTATCTCATATTACACATTAATTAGATCGTTAATTATGATTCTATATAAATAAGGATAATTTTCAAATTTTCAAATAAACAAATGGACCTTAAATACATATTATTTGTGTCAAAACGAGTTAAATGATTATTATATTAGTCATATTTTTTTATTGAAATGAAAATAATATAATATTCGAATGTTATAATATGCGAATAATATATATATGTATACACACATAATATGTGATATATCTATATACTAAGGGAGTTAGCATTGTTTGTCTTGAACTTTTTGTGGGTTAGATTGTTTTATGATTATTGATTAAATGTTCATAACTACTTTTCCAAATTTTTTTCCACCCAAAAATTACAAAAATCTTTTCATTTTATTCGATTATCAGTTTAAAGTAATTATGATTAGGATTTGAATTGAGCTAAATTTGATTGTTGAGTATAAAGTAAATATTTTTGCTTAAACTTAATTTTGCTTGAATTTTACGAATATTCAAAGTTGAAGTCAAATTGAAATTGATTATAAAAATAATAAAGAATAATTAAATTAAAAAAATAATTATGGTGTCACTATGAACAAGAATAGATAAGAATTATTTTGTAAACTTAATATAGAAGTGTTAATTGAGTCAAACTTAAACTCAATTCTTGATTTGACGTAATTATGATTAAGACTCAAATTGAACTAAATTTGTCTATCAAATATAAAGTATAAATTCTTACTTAAACTTAAATTCGATTGAATTTTACAAATATTTAAGTTTAATTGAAATAGAAGTTGATTTTAATTTTTTAACAAAATTTTTTACATTTACTAGGATTCACTTGAAGCTTTTGGATACTTTTCTCACAAAAGTTACACAAACTCAAATTAGAAAAATAGTGTAAAGATAATATTATGAACTTTAGGCAGAAACTAGCAAAAACACAAATAGTTATAATTTTTTAAAATTTGAAATAAAGTTTATTAAAAATGGTAAAATCGTGGATGTTTGATTAATAAAAATTATATTTTCTCATATTTTTGAATTAATATGTTACAGTAGTTATAGCGTGACTTTCGTTATATAAAATTTTGATTATATATGTTCTACATACCGATTGAACAATATGAATTTAATCATTGTATTATTCAAATTATATTATACATTATCTTTATTTATGAACAAATATTTACAATTTTTTACAAGTAATATAGTGCCTTCAGACACGGACAATTAATAGCAAACTTATAAATTAAACTATCCAAAAACATCAAAAGACCAAATAACTAGCAACACCTAAGATTTTTGTAAATTAAAATTTTTTTTTAAGAAATTAGGGTTGAAAGAGTTTGAAGCTCACCTGGCCTAATACATTTAAATAGTATATAAAGATTTATCAAGTCATTGTCATGTCATAGAGTCAATAAATTAGGAGCAATGCTATGTAAATTAAATGAGACCTATTGATTCAATGGTACCCCTTCATTTGGAATGTAAATTTGTATTACAAATTTGGGTTACATAGTATTTTTCATAAATTAGATCATTTTTTTAAATCTCAATAATATTACTCTGACAAATTGTACTAACAAACTAAGTTTTCATGTCTTGTTTAGTTGTCATATTGATTAAAAAAAAAAAGAGATAGGATTAGTAATCTTGAACAAGTGAAGAGAATACAAGATTAGATAAAGGATACAAATCTTTTTTATTCTATCCTGCGTTTGGTATAACATCGGATTAAGATCTAGATAACATTTATCTTGTCTAATCTTAAGTTTGTTTAGTTTACAAATCTCCTGGTATTACTATCACATTGATCAAAATACCCTCAATTTGATCTAGTCTAATTTTTTTTACTGTTTTTTTACTTAAGTTTGTATAATCACACACACACACACAAAGTAGATTCAGATAATCCATGATCAAAAAAATTACCTTATTTGGTTGATGATGAATAAAAGATGGGAAGGATCGCTGCCGAACGAGGGGGGATTTTTGTGGAGAATAAAAGTGGATAAAACAATAAAATAACAACATAATACTTTTAGACTGAATTATAATTCCACCTTAGGCTTCAGATGGAATTAAAATTAGCTTAATAATAATAGTTGATGATGTTACAAAAATACAGTTAGTATTCGTATTTGATTTAGTCTTATACATAATATCGACCGACTTTTGACATCCAAATGTTGTACAAATTAAAATTAAAATATATTTTAATCCTGTATAACTTGATGATGCACAAATTAGTTTCGTGCAAGATCAACAGTCTCGTATGTAAAGAGGTGTAATTAATAGACAATAAATAAAATAATCAATGACAAAACAGTAAATATGAATTAACACACAGATATATAGTGGTTCGGTTCAGGTGACCTACTCCACTGTTGGGAAACAGCAGCAATGGCCGGAGGTCTTTATTAATGAGTAAAGTAACCGGAAGAGTATACTTCGGAAGAATTACAATTGTTAGGAGAGAGAAATTTGGTGTGTAGGAAGGTGTAGAGACAAAGCTCAAGGTGTAGTGTGTTGAGAGAGACGTTCTGTGATGTATTGAGGTGCCTGTCAATGTGAAGAGATTTTATAATATATAGGTTTGGTGAGGCGGTGACGTGAGGGAGAGAGTATTACTTCTTTGGTAAGTACAATTACAGTAAGATTTGATCATCATGAGTACAAATCTCAATATTCTCTCTCTCATATACTTTTATTTTACCGGGGTACTTAAATCTTGGATTTGGATTGACAAAATGAATCTGGCTGCCTTTTAATTGACTTGAACTCAATTAATTTATTGGATCTAACTCAGTTGATTTTGAGCTCATCATAACTCTTTAATGTCCTCTCTAATACGGTAGCCAAATAAGTCCACATAATATTATTGTTATTAAAACAATATATTCTCTTTGATAGGTTGGCATATAGGTATGACCGATAAAGACAAGACTACAGACTTTCCTCAATTTTGCTGGAAAAAATTATATTTTGACTTCTTTAATTATAGACTCAAATTCATTTTGTCCCTTAAACTATTGAATTTGTTTATATTACTCCTTCAACTATTAGAATTAATTTCACACTATATCAAACACAAAAAATTTTGACTTATTGCACAAAACTTGTAGTGTCAGGCAAAAAGTGAACAAAACACATAGATTTAAGGGAAAAGATGAAACGGATGTTAATCATTGAGACAACATGAAACTAATAACATAGTTAAAGGTGAAATGTGAGAAATATAATAATTGAGGAACAATGTAAAAAATAGTCGTAGTTGAGGGATTGAAGTGTAATTTACCCAATTCTCTGGATTCTTGGCCCTCATCTTCGTATACATAGCCCAAGAACAAAATAAACTATTGTGCTTTGGCAGGGAATAACCAACTCCATTATTACAAATACTGAAGGAGAGTGAACAACAAAGATCAAAGGACTCGTACAAAGCTGAGCGGAAATGGCGGATGCAGCTATTCCCACCGTTGATCTCTCTCCTTTCTTCAACGAACTCAATGAAGACGGAAAGAAGAAGGCCAAAGAAGTAATTAGCCAAGCATGCTCAAACTATGGCTTCTTCCAAATTGTGAACCATGGAGTACCCCTAGCTCTGATGAACAGGGCCATGGAGGTCTCTAAGGCGTTTTTCACGTACCCGGAGGAGGAGAAGCTTAAGTGTTGCCCAGGGTCTGGTGCACCTCTCCCTGCTGGTTACAGTAAGCAGCCGGAGCACTCGGCCGACAAGAATGAGTATGTGTTGATGTTTCCACCGGGGTCCAGCTTCAATGTCTTCCCCACAAATCCACCTGAATTCCAGTACGTCCATACTTCTACTCTTCAAAATCACTTAACATGAGAAAACGATAATAAGGGAAGCCACAATAAATTGACTATTATGACTATACTCTAAAATTTGTATATGGTTGGGTGTGAAAAAATTCGAAAATCCGACTCCTACTTTGAATCGGAGTCGCAGTTTAACTATCACTTTTGATAAAATCCTTAGTTAGATAAAAAGATTGAAAAGTTGTTTCCTTCTATTTATTTATTATTAGTAATACAGCACGTACACAAAAATAATTAAATAGAAGGAAACAATTTTAGGCCTGGGTGCAAAGCCTGTCTAATAGGTCTTTAGTGAGTGACGGATTGAGCAGTAAATAATATAGGGTTAATCTTATTTTACACCTCGAAAGATTGTTTGAATTTTAATTTACACCCTCAAAAATCAAAAATTTTAATTTACACCCTCAAAGATATAAATTTGTATCAATGTGCACCCCCTAAAGATCAAAAATCTCAATTTGTACCCTCAAAGATAGAAATTTATATCAATGTGTACCCCAAAGATAAAAATCTCAATTTGCACCCTCAAAAATAGAAATTTGTATCAATGTGCTCCTAAAATTAAATTGATAAATTATACCTAAATTCTCTCATATTTGTCAGTTAATCATTTAGATCTCTTCACATTTAGAATATTACTCCTACATCTTATGACATTTGTGCATGTATAACACGTAACCCATTTTCATTGATATCTATTAATATAACCGTTAAAAAAATATAATTTTATCCTAATAAAAAATTATAATTTCATATTACCCTTTATTTTATAGGTTCAATATACTATAAAGTTCAAAATCTAGTTTACCATTTGAATGTCTAATAAAATATAAATATTTATATAATATTTTTCATATTACCTTTTATATAAATATCTACATTTTATTAGACATTCAAATGGTAA